TCTGAATAACCATGGGTCCCAGGATGTTGATACTTTGCAAGTTGCATCCCGAGATGAAAGGCTATAAAATTTGTTTAACATAATGACTTTGTTCGACTTTCAATCACAGGGGTGAAATGGTTTAAAAAAAAAATAACAGGTTCTTTTGAATGAATTTTAATCATAAATGCTGATATTTTATTTTGCCTGTAGCTTTATTTTAGATCACTTTTAAGGTTACAAGTGTGAGATTTATACCAGGTGAGCGATGCAGGCCCATTGGGCCTCTTGGTTACCTCAGACTATGATTACCTGGTAATCAACCATGATATCATGAAAACATTATAAAGAATTATTGAGATTCAAGAGCAGACGTGAAAACTGATCAAACAGTTGTTCTGATAAGTTTTACCTTAAACTGCAGTCAAACCACATTTCTACCTAAAGCTAGTGTTACCTTAAACTGCAGTCAAACCACATTTCTACCTAAAGCTAGTTTTACCTTAAACTGCAGTCAAACCACATACCTACCTATAGCTAGTTTTAGCTTAAACTGCAGTCAAACCCCATTTCTACCTATAGCTAGTTTTAGCTTAAACTGCAGTCAAACCCCATTTCTACCTATAGCTAGTTTTAGCTTAAACTGCAGTCAAAGCACATTCCTACCTATAGCTAGTTTTCCCTTAAACTGCAGTCAAACCCCATTTCTACCTATAGCTAGTTTTAGCTTAAGCTGCAGTCAAACCACATTCGCACCTATAGCTAGTTTTACCATAAACTGCAGTCAAACCACATACCTACCTATAGCTAGTTTTAGCTTAAACTGCAGTCAAAGCACATTCCTACCTATAGCTAGTTTTAGCTTAAACTGCAGTCAAACCACATTCGCACCTATAGCTAGTTTTACCGTAAACTGCAGCCAAACCACATTTCTACCTATAGCTAGTTTTAGCTTAAGCTGCAGTCAAACCACATTCCTACCTATAGCTAGTTTTACCTTAAACTGCAGCCAAACCACATTTCTACCTGTCTTACCCATTTCATTGAATACCTCTCTATATCAATCAGTGATCAATCATTGATTGTTTTGGAATTACCGATGATTGATCATGAATATTGAAGTGATTCAAAACACTATCTAAGAATTATTCGATGTTCAAAGGACGTGCGGTAGTCTAGTGGTAGGACGCCGGGCTCGTGACCGAAGGGTTGCAGGTTCGAGTCACGTCATGGCACTTTGTTCTACTTTTGAACAAGATACTTTTCTACGCTTGTTCCAGTCTACTCAGCTGTAAATGAGTATGTGGTTGGGAAGTGCTGGAATTCTTGAATGCTAGCTGTGAGCGCCGAAATGGCAGCACCGGCTGTATGCTCCCCAGGAGGTTAAGAAAGATATTGGCTTGTTGAAAAGGCCTTAAAACCATGAATAATAATTTGTGAACCGCTTTAAGACGACCTACGACCTAGGTTGTGATACAGCGATATATAAGAACCACAAATTATTAGCATTATTATGACAAAGTTAGCTATTTTAAACACCTTGGTAATCAGTTTGACAGTCTGCACCAAGTTATTAAATGATATTCTTGGTCCTGATCTTAGGGTTAATCATATGTCCTAGAAAAGTTGTGTCAGTGTGTTTAACCAGGATCCTGTCATATACTGAGGTTTGTTTTATAAAACAAAACTGACGGAGAGAAAGTATTAGATTTTTGCTTTAAAATGATAGCAAAGATTTTCTTTGAAAAATTGAAAGATTGAAATACTGTAACAGCAAAAATTGTGTTGTAAATGGATGGGATATGGATGAGGATTTTAAGCAAAAATATTTCATTTAGTACTATGACAAACTAGATGCTATAATGTATCCAAACTATCGGAAAAAAGAAAGCTAGTTGCTGCTGTATTACATTTTTGCATTTTATTTTTTTTTGCATTTTTTGGGTTGAAAATGACCTGGACCATTTACTGTTTTTTAAAGATAAAAATCAGATAAAAAACTGACACGTTTATGTACCTGTTTTGTCTTCCTAATAAAAAAACCTATTTTAAACTGCATAAAAATACTTTGTATTTTTTTTATATATATATCAGAGAGTCCTCTATAGAAGGTAGAAGGTTACGAAGGGGAATGTGCAAGTATTTAGCAATGTGCATCACGTTAGTTAGGTCAGTCTGGCATATAATTATCCTTTCAGCTTGAATACACCATCTATCTGTCCTCGTCACGTTGACAGAGCAACAGTGATAAGCATGTACCCTCCAGTTCTGAATAAGAATTTCTATGTAGGGGTGTGCTGTTACTACATTTCATTTACATATATAAGATTACACTGGAATCGTTAGATTGGCCGCTAAGATACCTTTATCTAGTTGCAAATTCGGTACTAATTGAAAAGTCGACTCGGCTTTGAAGGGAACAAGAGGTCAAAGTGAGGGCCGGCTGATCTTAATAGGAGTGAAATTCCATCACATTCATTTAAGTCATCCATATGCATTTTTTTTTTTTTTTTAAAGGTGGAAAAAAACCTGATGTTTAACTTTCAACCTTAGAGCAAGTAGATTTTTTTTTTTATTCTGATATGAAAAGGTTT